TCTCTCTCTCTCTCTCCCCCCCCTCCGCACTGACCCGTGGATACAATTGCCCGTCTTTCAGGGGCCTAATCTTCTGGGTGTGATATAGCGGACGCATTTGGTTCCATTCTACATTTTGACACTTTGTGCCCTTCGGCCAAGAGGAGCTGGTCCTGCTCGCCCAAGAAGCATAAAACGTCTTGAAAAGCTGGATGTTGAAGGTTGAGCTTGAGACGAGTGCCAGGAATCAATGTCTCAGAATAACCTGCTCTCGTTTCGTTTGGTTAACGTTTTATCGGATGTGTCTGGTCTCAATATGTCGACCATCATTTTGTCGGACAGGTCAGCCTGGGTGGGGAGGTGGGGATGGTTCGCTTCTTCCATTCGCGCAATCGAGGAGTGGACCGGGTGTTCGTCGATCATCCGCTTTTCCTCGAAATGGTACGCCTCCCACAGACGAAGATGAGAAACTAAATTCTGATGCATAGAGTTGTGTTTCTTTTGATGTATGATTTTTAATACATTATCAATTTTTGTTGACCAACGTCTTTATTGTAAGGTTATTTGCACGGCTGCCCTTGCAGAGACGCAGCACTACGCAACGGGAAGTTAAAAAGACTCAAAAGAGTAGTGTATCGGAGACAAGCAACATAACAATGAAGTACCAAGAAACAGAGCATTTACAACAATTACGACTGGCGAATTTTGATCGTCGGCATGTGTGTGAGGTGTTAATCAAACAGTACGTACGTACAATCCGCCCAGGGACTAAGAGTTCCCATAACGATGAGCCAATTGAGGACCAGAATAAAGAGAGSACGTATGGCTTCGCCAATTATAGACCAGAAGACGTGAAGTCTTTCTCACTTTATTTTCCTGCTCGAGCCATTTGATGATGGTCATGGTATGTGTTGRAACTAAGGTGGTCATATAAACGACCTTCCGTGCAATCCATCCACTGAACTGAGTGAAGGAGGTGTTTATTTGATTCAGCAATTAGAGACAGGAAGCAATCACGAAACCGACGAGCGCAGTACCCCAAGGAAAAAAAACGGAAGACAAAATGATGCTCGTTTCAGTTGTCAGAGCGATATGAACGCGTCTCAGGTCTATCGTATCTGCATAAAAATTAAAGAGTCGTTGACTGTCACGGCCCTGATTCTTACGAGTTTGAATTCCTTGCTTGCTTGCCCTGTGGGTTGTATCGATCGACGCCGCACAACGCTGAATGCCATCCGGTTGGAATCGGGGACCGTCGAGCGAATGGCAGGTGTGGGGCAAGACAGGCCAAAAGATCTACGGCGAGAAAGTGGGGGTTGAATACCCTGAGAATCCTCTGCGGTTCGCCATCTTCTGCCAGGTAGGGCTGCTTCTCTTCTTGCATGCGTCTCACATCCCTTTCTGTCTGATCTGCAACAGTTACTGTGTGTTTCGTTGCCCGGGCAGGAAGGCACAGAACCTTATTCCCCCACACATCTTCACGCTGAAGGAAGCGCTTGCGGACGTTGTGGATGATGTCGATATTGGTACGATGATTTTTGTGTTTTTTATACTCTTCTTTGATCTTATTACTTGCTTGGAGCGGGACATGCGGGCGCGATAATCTTATTTGTCTTCTTTTGCTGCTTGTTGCAGGCTGCACTTCAGGCGCCCTTGCTCCTCCATTTGGCGGAGGACACGGGTCTGTCGTCCCCGTACGGTAAGTCTCATCATACTTAGCCGCCTGACCTCGGCAGCCTTGGCATGGAACTCGACTTTTTACTGGATGTCTGTACTTTCTGATTGTTCACGTTCCTTGGCCATTGTATGCATACGACCGTTTGTACAGTATGTTCTCTACCCAGTCCGCTTCCACTTACTGGGTAATCGCTCCCTCTCTCTGATATATCTTCCTTGGMGGGATGCATGGAGTAGAAAGGATTTGTAACGGGTGGACATAACGTAAGCTTTCCCCTCACTTGACTCAGCGGCCACTGTTACTCACGCAGTTCTCATCACTATTCGAAAACTCTCTCTCCCGTGGCCTGTCCTCTGTCTTTCTTCGGCTTGAAAGATAGGAAGGAGCAGCCTATATTTTTCTGATTGATATCTGGCTTTCTCGACGCGTGTCATTTGCAGGGGAGGATGTGGTCTTTGTTGTCAATGATTGGCACGCCGCCCTTGTTCCTCTATACCTGAAGAGCAGATTTCAGCCCAGAGGCACGTACGCAAACGCCAAGGTATGTGCTTCGACTCTCCTCTTACTGCTGATAGCGTAGGACTGATAGAGGGGCTTCCAGAAATGAAAGCCATATTAGGGTTCAGCAATGATGGCTGGATAGGGGTAGAGAGGTGTAAGGGACTACCCGAACGCGGCTTGAGGGGCCAACCCTCAAGGTGCTACCTGTGGGAGCACAGAGCCAAGGAAAGGGCCGAGCTCATGCTGGTTGTATCCTCTCGCGGATGCTCGCGCGTACGTGAAGGGGTTCCACTTTGCACTGTGCGGTGAGTCTGTGTATGTGTGCTTGTACGTGCCTTGACTGTCTTGACATGTGTGAGCCAGTGTGACACGTGTTGCGCCTACCGTAGTGCTGTCCTGAGTCCTGACATCCCGCTACAGCTGAAGTGTACCTTTTAACGGGTTAAGAATCTTCGAATGTGAAGTACCTGGAGCGGGCTGTGGTTATTCCAGGGAACAGTGAATATGGACATTGTGATTGTCTGCTTTAAGTTTGGACTCGATAGCATTTGTCATCAAACGAGTTGCAAAAGTGTCAAAATATTTAGCCTGAAAATCCTGAAAATGATTAAAGTGAACGAGGTATGCAGGAAAGTGAACGTTGTCCAGAATCAAAGAACCGAAGTGAATTCTGTGAATCGATCAATCTGATCACTCCGTCTTCTTCCTCCATTGGGTCGTTAATGGTCACAGGTTGCGATGTGTGTGCACAATCTGGCATATCAAGGCCAGTTTGATGAATCTGAGTTCGAATACAGCACCCTGGACCTCCCTGCGGAGTTTCGGCCAGCATTCCAGCAACAAGTGCCCAACAGGTTAGAGTTCATCATAAAGCCTTGTATGATATTCGAAACCCGTCCATTGTCATGATTGCCTGAGACATGCGCTCATTCGCCTGACGGCCGCAGCGACATTTTCGGTAATGGTTTCTCTCTCTCTCTCTCTCTCTCTCTCTCTCTCTCTCTCTCTCTCTCTCTCTCTCTCTCTCTCTCTCTCTCTCTCTCTCTCTCTCTCTCT